GTGTGTGTGTGTGTGTGTGTGTGTGTGTGTGTGTGTGTGTGTGTGTGTGTGTGTGTGTGTGTGTGAGAGAGAGAGAGAGAGAGAGAGAGAGAGAGAATGAAAGTAACATGGTCGTTGTGGGTTTTTTGACCCCAGCCGTGAAAGCCTTCGCTAATACAATGAAAGTAACACTTCTCATTAGTAAAAAAGATTGTACAATGATACTGAACCTGTTAGATGCATACTTGTCTCCAGATAAATGATGTACAATATTTTGTTGTCAATAGTTAGCAAATTACGGAAGTAGGGAGAATTGCTTGGATTCACTTTGACTTGAATTGTTGTAGTTGAGATATGTAATGTGGCTGTAAGTTTGACCCATGCATGTATCCTGTTAATGGATAAGTTCCTGTTTCTGCATCTTGAGGACATGGACAGGATTCCTAGAGAGTTGACAGCCCCCATGTATGCTGATGTTGCATTTCCTGGCTCATAAAGGCAGCTATGGGAGGAGTGGCTATGTGGCTAAGGAGAGTAGCAAAGTGCCAGTATTACTAAAGGAGGAATTAGTAAGACCAGTGCTGGGAAAAAAACCCAACCCTCATTGAATCCCACTGCATGATAGTGACCCTCTTGTATTCAACATTCCATTCTTGGGCAAAGTATTGGAGTGTGTGGTGGCTTCCCAGTTCCAGGGGTTCCTAGATGAGATAGTTTATCAGGATTCATAACAGTTTGGCTTTAGGCTTGGTTATGAGACAGAAATAGCTTCAGTTGCCCTGGTGGACAACACTGAGAACTTGACAGGAAAAGTGTGTCCTTTACTGGTTCTGCTGGACCTCTCAGTGGTATCCAGTACCATTGCCCATGACATCCTTCTGGGCTGTGACTCGTATATTTTTCTTGGAATCTCTGACTCTGGTCTTTCTTGCACTGGCAAGCTTAGGAGGCATTGCCAGGGGACTTCTGTTCAATATCCTGGCTGTTGGTCTGTGGCAGGTCCCTCAGTGTTCTGTTCTGCCCCACAAGTTAGGAGGTTGGCTAGAATTTTGGGCCAACAGTATACATACTACACCCGTATGTCCTTTCCATTCAAATCCTGCTTCAATTCTAGATGAACATCCAGTCTCAGTAGTAGGTAGAATGAGGGTGAACAAACAGAAGGTTAATCCAGATAAGGTAGAGGTTCTACAGGTCAGCCAGAGGACAAATCAGGGGACAGGGAATAAAACCATTCTGGAGATATCTGATCTGACCGCAGTGACACACTCCTTAATTACATCTCACTTGGATTCGTGCAATGCTCTCTAATTGAAGCTGTCTTTGGAAAATGTTCAGAAACAGCAAGTGAAAAATGCTGCAGCCAGCTTGCTAACTGCTACAAGGATAACTGAGTTGCCTTGTTCCAACAGTTTCATTGGCTACTGGTACATTTCTGGACACCTTTCAATGTGTCTCCTACAAGAAGAGCCACTCTGTGTGGCCTTGGGCAAGCTACACAGTCCCAGGGTGCCCCCAGAAGAAGGGCATGGTAGACCACTTCTGAGTATTCGTTACCTGGGAAACCCTGAAAAGGGATGCCATTAGTCAGAACTGACTTGATGGCATGTGATCAAATCAAATGACAATGCACAGACCTAGCTGACCATCTTGTGACTAAAAATGTATTAAAAACAAGATGAAATAAAGGATACTGCTGTGACCCACATTAGCCCTTGTAGGGTCTTTCTGATAGACACAACAGTATATCATCAACTGCTGCTGTTTGGTTATTTTACTTCTCCCTCCTAAAAATTAGACCTGAGGCTCAGACCTGGGTACATACCAGGAAAATGTATATATGATTTAGAATCATTTAGTTGAAAGACTTGTTAAGCTAGGTGGCTTTCATCCAATATAGCACCTTTTTATTGCTTGTGGCAATATTTAAATTTACTCTCTTCTTCCATGCCTGGCAAAATATACATAAGAAAATATGTTGTTGACACCAACTGGATTTTCCTCAGTTAAATTACTTTTTCTTTTTTTTTCTTTAGACACCTGACTTGTTCTAAGGTTTACTTCCTTTGTTTTCTGTCTTCTTGTTTCCTAACAATGTACTTCTCATTATTCAGTTATACAGTTTTAACAGATTAGTCTATATGCAGAACAACCAAAAAAAAGGTCAAAATTCTTGGTAGAGGTCATTACCGACTTGATTAGACAAGTGGAAGCAGAATTCTGTCTTTATACATGAATAAGCTGTTCAGAAATTTTTTTGGCATAAAGGCAGAACAGGAATAATGCCAAGCACCCAAGGCCAGATTATTCTGCTGAATTTGTCAGCTTTGTTTCCTGCTTTGCCAAGTGGCTTTGTGTGTAATTATAGTGCTCTTGTTTGTTTCTGTATGTCAGAAAATGGCATTTGGAATAAACGAGAAATGAAAGCAGAGTAGGTACCTGGCTTTCCTTGAGGAGCTCCTTTGTCGTGCTTAAGAACCTCTTGTCCTACAAGACAGAAACAACACAGCATAAACAAAACTTCAGTTGGCTATTGTTTACTTAGCCTGTTCTTACAACCATTTAATCTCCCTTAATGTATGAAGAGTGGAGGGACGTGGTGGCGCTGCAGGCTAAACCGCAGAAGCCTGTGCTGCAGGGTCAGAAGACCAAGCAGTCGTAAGATCGAATCCACGCGACGGAGTGAGCTCCCGTTGCTTTGAACCTTTACCTTTACCTTTATTGAAGATAGTCTCACAAGATTACTGAAAACAAGATCACACTATTGGCCTGTCTTTGTTATAAAACCAGTTGGTACAAGCTGCCTATATAAGTATGGACTGTGGACTAGGAAATCCAGGCTCTATTCCCTATTAGGCCACAAAACTCATTAGAACCTTGAAACTGAACCATGCAACTTGTGACACTCACTTTGGGACAGTACCTTTCTCTCAGCACCAGACTCTCATAAGGACAAAGTGGAGAAGAGGAGAGATATGCTTCATTTTGAGTTTTGATACCTGCGTATATTTTTATACGTTGAAAGGAATGACTTTAAGTGTTGGTGCCCATAGTTTTTCATAACTGTAAGAAGTTTGGATGTTACAACAATTTTGAAGTAATTTTATGTTATGGAACCAAGAAAATATAGAGAAATAAAAGTTTGTAGCATTAGACAAACTGGAGTTGCCTGGAATTATTGCAGCCAAAAAAAAATTACATTTAAACACCCCCCCAAAATTGGAAATGTTTGTCAATTTTTGTCTGATTTCACTTTGGGATTACCCCTTTGCTGGGATAATGTCAGCTATGCTGAACCATTGACATCTCTTCTTTGCCTGAGAGGTCTATAAATCTCTGCAGGGCTCCTGGGAAGTCAGGCATCCTTATCAGGATCTGACACCTGGACTCAGCACTTCCACAGTGTGCTGGGTCCTGGAATACTCCTGCACTGTACTCTCATACAACTCCTATCCTGATCTCCTAAAATCAGTAGCAGTTTGAAGAACTTAGATATGTTTGTAAGACAGAAAAAGAATACAATACACTTTATATAATCCAAACGTGCATTCCAGAAATGGTTTATATGAAGGGAAAATAAACAGCCAACAATTGTTTCATGCTAGAATTAGCTAATTTCAGTAAAGGAAAATTATTCTTTCATCTTAATGGGGATAAGGACATTTAATGCCTATGTTAATCATGTTAATGGGGTAAAAATGTTTTATGCTTCTGCTTTCACACAAAATGTTTATTTAAGGAGTAGACACTTCCCAACTCACCCTGTGCAGAGAATACAACTGTGCACATACACTGGCCATCACTGAAACCTGAGCATCCAGGTTCAGGAATGAATTCAGGAGCACACCAAAGCTTCACATCTGTGTTTTTTAGAGGGAGTGCAATCCCATCCAGCACAGGCCGAAGTCTTATTCCCTGGTCTGCATTTTGACTGACCAGGAGACCCCCTGTCTTGTCCAGATTAAGTTTCAATTTATTCACCCTCATCCAGTTCATCACTGACATTGGACAGTGATCTAAAACTGAACCAGCTTTCTCAGATTTAGACAGGAAGAAGAGATGTTATCTGGAGTTGGATGTCATCCAGATACTGGTGACACCAAAACCGAAAACTCCAGACAATCTCTCCCAGTGGTTTCATATAGATGATAAATAGCATGGAGGACAAAACAGAATCCTGTGGGACACCACAGACCAATAGCCAGGGTGTTGAACAGTCAAACCCCATCTTCTGAGTTCTCCCATCCAGGGAGGACTTGAGCCAATGTAAAACAGTGCCACTAAGTCCCATCCTAGAGAGACAGCTCAGAGGGATACTATGGATGATGGCACTGAAAGCCACTGAGGGGTCCAGCAAAAGCAACAAGGATACTTTCCCCCCTGTCCAATTCCCAGCATAGGTAATCCATCAGGGTGACCAAAGCAGTCTATGTCCCATAACTGGGACCGAAGCCAGATAGTAATAGATCTAGATAATGTCTCATTCAGGAAACTCTGGAGCTGAGAAGCCCCATGACCCACTCCAATACCTTGCCCAGGAATGAAACATTAGATTGTCCAGTAATTAGCTCTGTTTCTAATGGCGTTTATTGTACTGTTTAGTAGAATCACAGAATCATAGAATACAGTAATGGAGTCAGAACTTGCAGAAGAACTTGAGCCACCCATGGATGGGGAGTACATATACAAAGAGCATGGATGGACAGGACAACTGGTTCTACTGATCTGACCAGGGCCAGCAAGGCTTACAAGCATGATTAATTTTCAAAAATATGGTTTTAACAGTTGAAGTCACAGTGTCATAAGCCTGGCATGGGAAAAGCATTTCTGTTCCCTACTTTCCCTTCCTCCTCCCAATCTTTTACTGAGTCACTTTTGCTCTCCTTTCTAATGTCATCATTGGTTGATTTGAAATATATTTTTGCTGGAAACTGCAGACTCAACATATGTACAGCTGCATATGTTACTGAAAGTTTGGACATTGTCCAGAATTTAAAGCAACAGCTGCCTTACATATTGCAGCTGTTGATAGCTATCAACTGAATTTCAGTATATATTATGTTGCTGCAATACTCAGTTGGTTTAGATTTACCTTATGATCATAGGCATTTTTTCTAAAATGAAGAAAGACATTCACCTCAAACAACAAGGCCTCACAGCTTATCTGAAAGCTATCTTTCCTGCAAATATATGAATTCAGTGCAGGGGAAACCTTCCCCACCTAGGGTTGTGCAGGTTCACTTGATGTGTCAGTTTAAACCCAACTCAAAATTCACCAATTGCGGCCACATGAACCCAGGCACTTGATGGTTTCTGGATTTATTGGGTTCTTTGCTCCTGCTCATGGAATTGACCTACTGCTGCAGTACTTTTTATACCTCTTTGCATTTCACAGTTCAGTCATCTAACACCTCAGACTATAGCCTCTGAAGTGAGAGGCAGAACAAATATGAGTAGTGTCCTAAAACTAAGTTTGCAAACCGAACCTGCAGAGGTAGCAAGGCAGCACTTCCATGCTTCTCCTGCCAAATGGTAGCAAGGCTGAGTTGCTCCACACAGTCTTCTACTGGCAAACATAACCAAGGAAGGAATGAGAGTCTTGTGTCTCCACACACACATTGAGTGTATGTCTTCACAGAGGTATTTCACTGCTTAGCCCAAGATATTTTATAGCTTGAGATACCACCTCACAATTTTAAATAGAAAAACCTAGTGGGCTAGAAGATAAATTGTACTTCAGTACCGGAAATGGGACAGCACACCTGAGAACAGCTGGCTCTTTTGGGGGCACAGGACAAGTTACTGGATGCACAATTCTGCCTTTTACACACTGCTATGACTCCCCTCCTCCATAGTACCTAAAGCCTGAGGCCTCACTTAGCCTAATAGCAGAACCTGTCTTGAAGAAACTGATGGCCTCAGAGTCCTGTATGTGATTACTACTGCTAAAGCGGCCCCTTAGGATCAGGCTCCTAGTTACCAAGTAAAACCTTTTGCTGTGATTTTGTTTTAATTTGTTTTATTGATGTTGGCTTTAAAAAAAGAAAAGAGGAGAAAAATCTTATTCTAGCCAAACAAGTTGAGTTTGTACACTCCTGCTTTAAAAGACGATCCGTGCCTTCTCTGTTAGAGATGTTAAGAAGCTGCTGTTTCAGAGATACATCTACACAATGGCATCAGGATGACAGCAGGCAAGCCAGTAGAGCCAGAATTCACACTGTGTTATGGAGGCAAACATTGAGACTAAATAAACATATGAACCACGGATCAGCCATTAAAATTGATCATCTAGGTTCCCCCTGCTAGGGGCATAAATATTTTTTTGTCTGTTTCAGGCGCATTGTTCTGAAACCCTCCCTCCACAGGACTTCCTATCATAATCCAGGATTTGTTGTGGCATACATATGTAGGAAGTGAAGCGTTCCCCAGGGACTAAAAGGAACTTTACAGTACTAAAATATGGCAGCAATAAGTCACTCTCTGGTGGAACTGCGCTGATGGCCACATTCCAAAGACAGTCTTGATGTAGCTGAAAAGTAGATAAAATGTGTATGAAACTGAAGACTAGATGAACTGCCTATACCTTTAGGGTGGCTTTTTTCAATGTATCTTCAAAGCGCTTCATATTATTTTAAGAACAAGGGTCGAATTACACATTATGTATATAGCATGCAACCTTCTTGATTAATTTCTGCTTACCTGATGCCAATTGACATTTCTCTTTCTTCTGACAGAGTGAGTGTGTGTACATGGGAGGTGGGTAGGAGAGAAGCAGCTAGGGAGGGAAGGTTAAAAATGGCCACTTCCCTTGTGCCATAGTCCCTGTTCAAATTGGCCTTACACAGATTCACTTTCAAGAAAATACTGACTGGACATTTCTATAGTTTGCAAAATGTGGGTTGATCCCAAGTGTTCACTTTTTTTCCCCCTAGAGAGGGGAAAAATCATTTCTAAAAGAACATTCTTTTTAGCAACTTACTCATTGGTTTGTGTTCTTCTCTCTTTCCTAAAAGTAAAAAATAAAAATAAAAAATACAAAGCAAGAGTAAGACAATAAATGTCATTCAATAATCTGTCTCTAAAACAGGGTTGGATAAATTTCTTGCCTTTTTGCAGTCCATGGATCCCATCCTGGCTCCAAAATAATAATAATAAGAAGAAGAAAGAAAAGCAAGAGTAAGACAATAAATGTCATTCAGTAATCTGTCTCTAAAACAGGATTGGATAAATTCCTTGCCTTTTTGCAGTCCATAGATCCCATCCTGGCTTCCAAAAAAAATAATAATAAATAAATCACCTCCCTAACAAAATGTATCTCAATTTGGCTTCCTTTTATTACTTATGTTCAGACATATGGAAATAAGATGATGAACCCTCCAAGTACATATAGGGAGGGATACTTAGAATCAAGGTTCCCTGTAAGCTACACCCGTGTGCGACTCCGCCTCCCTCCGCACAGCTTTCTTCCTCCTCTGCACAGAGATCACATTCAACCCTTTGGTTCTGGTTGCAACAGAACCCTGTGCATGGGGGGGGGGTGGAGTTGCAAGGCAGAGAGGCAGACCCCTGCCCAGCAGGGATGAAAATTAGAGGGTATGTTGCTTGGAATAATATGCTCAAGGTCTCCACCTCCTCTGTGTAAACTCTATGACATATTTCCTAAAAGTAAAAAATAAAAATAAAAAATACAAAGCAAGAGTAAGACAATAAATGTCATTCAATAATCTGTCTCTAAAACAGGGTTGGATAAATTTCTTGCCTTTTTGCAGTCCACGGATCCCATCCTGGCTCCAAAATAATAATAATAAGAAGAAGAAAGAAATGACTCTCACTCCTAGGAGTGAGAGTCATATCTTTCTTATTATTATTATTGTAATTTAACATTTTTATTTAATTTATTTTAAATATACATCCAAAAAAGAGGGAGAAAATCATCTTTAAACTAGAAAGAAAGAAAGAAAGAAAGAATCTCACTCCTAGAAGTGTTGAGGAAGAAAATCATCTTTAAACAAGGTATGCAATCCCTGTATGATTTTTTTTTCAATGAAGAAAATAAGAGGGGGACAGTTGGAACCAGAAAGGTTTTCATGGTCCTTGAATTAGAGAATTTCCCACTGGACTACTGGGCATTGCTTACTCCTGCTCTAGAGAAAGAAAATGGGGAGATAAACCCCATTTGAGCACTACAGCTGGAAGGACTAACATGGTATATAAAAGCAGGATCATTTTCTAATCCTTGTAAAAATGTTAGTGCACATAACATTTCAGCAAGTTATATAACTGCAATTATATTTTGAGAGCTTGCTTTGTTCACAGAATTGCTTTTCTCTACTTTGAGACAAATATGACAGGTGTCTGGGATTATCTCTTTCTAAAAGAAGGCATTTGTATAAATATGCAAAAAAAAAAAAAGCAAAATGTGCTGCTTATATATTGCTCCATAGAGCTTAAAGCACTCCCCGGGCAGTTTACAATTTAATTATGCAGGGTACACATTGCTCCCTTCATAGTGAGCTGGTACTCAATTTAGCAACTTCAGAAGGGTGGAAGGTTGAGTCAAATGTAAACCAGCTACCTAAGTCTAGGATCAAACCCAGGTCATGACCAGAGTCTCCATTGCAATACTGCAGTTTAACCACTGCACCACGAAGCTGTAATGAGGCAACTAGTGACATGTGCTTTGAAAATACAACTGCACAGACAATACTGCAGTTTAACCACTGCACCACGAAGCTGTAATGAGGCAACTAGTGACATGTGCTTTGATCACACACATGCCTGACAATATGATAGGCTTATCAAAATAGCCAAGACATACATAGGCAGAGTTTGAAGAAGATATGTGCTTTGGCAGAATCATCATAGTAAATAATCATTTCTGGACTTTTTTGTGCCAGGTTCCTACGAAGATATGTGCTTTGGCAGAATCATCATACTACTTTGTCACATTATAGAGAGCTATCAGGAAAAAAAAGAATCCAATTGCATACTTTTTCACACCCAGATTCGTGCAGTAAATGATCATTTCTGGACCTTTTTGTGCCAGGTTCCTAGTGCTTAACTCTGATTACTGTGGCCTCTGTCCAGTGTCCCAATGTTGATCTTTAGTTACTATTCTTTTTATAATTATTTCAACTTTCAGTGAAGGGGTGCTTGCTTTTCAGAATTCCAGAAGGGCATTAATTATACGCAGCAGAAATTGCAAATGAGCCTAAGAAAGAAAAGCATCAACTCATTGAGCTAAGAACATTTTAATTCATATGAGCTTGTCAGATGTTATGTCTAAATGACTGTCATTTAATGGAACATGTTATGTGAGCAAGGGGATGTTCATGGATGACTGGCCACACACACCGTGAAAAAAGAGTCTTTGTCTTCTCATGGAACAGGAGCTATTCTAGTGCCAGGAATCACTTATTGGTTGCTTAATGCTTTCAATCTGTATTACTGTGCTTCACACCAGTTCATTACTATTTCTAAACCAGGACAATTAACAGTTCTTTTCTCATGAAGTAATCTGAACCTGTACAGTATGACTCAGTGTACCAAATGCAGCCAACAAACACATACAATTGCAGTGTATGAGTAAACAGGAAAAATAGGAAATGAATGGGAACTTCTAAGTGTCCCCCATCCATGGCAGATAGACGTGTTGTGTTTGATGGGCCAAAATTGTGTAACCTGCATCTTATGATCATGTTATCACTTAGAACTAGGTTTGTTATGATGAGCATATCACAGCCCTACAGGTGGGAGCACAGCTGTTCTATTCTATTCTAATGCACATAACAGTAGGCAAAAACTAAAGCAGCACACAGGAACAAAAGGTTAAACTCCACCCCCCGGTTACATGGACTGAAAGGCAGATCTGTGTAGCAGCATTTGGTGGTGAAAGCTAATAATGAAAAACACATCAGACAAGGGACTGCTGGACATAACACAGGTTTAGCCATTGTACTGATACAACTCATATGCTCAAACAAAAGATTTACACCTAAATAAATTAAAAATAGGCGGCAGGATGTAGCAAATGGATCATACCTGCAATGGCACGATGAGAAGTATCTTTGGTTTCTTTTATCACTTCAGGTGCTGTAATAATTGCAAATGAAACAAGATACATGTTAATCTTGCTTTTGAAATGTTTCTACCCAAAACATTCAGTGGCCAGGCACAGAAGAAAATACAGTTATTTTGCCATTATTTAAATAGTCAGTGAGCAATAACACCATTACTGTTGGTATCTGGCTACCATTACAATAAAAAAGAAAAGACTTCACCAGGCATGAAGAGAAATGTCAGGATGTATTCATATATTAATAATATTTAATATTATTAAATATGTCTTCTTCCTGCTTGTATTTTATAAAATCTTTATTCTACTTCAGGTTGTGTCTTCTCACCGTTGTAAAGAACAGTGAGTTATTAATAATAATGGCAATTCAACTGAACCAAAATATCCAACTAAACAAAAGTATTTTGGGTTGTGTGGCTGTCCCATTGATACATTATAGGTCTTGTGAAAATCTGTGTCTGCACAGCAAAGTTATATAAGTCAAACAAAGTTTATATTTTATCCCAGGTCTGTAGGAATTAGTAAGTAGTAGAATTTAGACAGGAAAACTTTACTCAAAAATCTATGCTGCCACTTGGAAAATGAGAGCATGGGCAAATTTGCTTGGCCAATTGGTTATATCAATCCTACAGTGTTTCAAAATGTCACACTGGCTGACAGCTGAGGAAAATTGTTGTGTCTGCATGCTGACATTATGGAAGTACAGGTATATTTACATATTTGCATACATCCACTTTACTGTAACTTCAGGTCACCTACCTTTGCATTTTAATATTGGACAGTACAGGTTTCATACACTTGTTGGTGATAAACATAAAGGTCTCCCATTAAGTGAGAATAAGTACTGAATATTTTATTTTTATATTGTAGTATAATATATGAATAATTAAGATCTCATGACATTTTAAAATTGAAATTGTGTCCTTCAATGTTACAGTAATTTAATATGAAGGATTAATGTTGTCTGTGGACATTTTCTGTCTTTTGTTACCTAGAGTTTTATTTACACACCTTTTTAAGCTGGAGTTCCCGTTTTTTTACCAGTGAGTTTCTGAGTAAACAGTATTTCTAAAAGGTTAGAAGTGCTAACCACAATTCATGTCAAGGCACCAACTGTGACTTCTTTATACTTGCTCTTTATTTTTATGGCACTTCTCAAAACTACAGTATGCACAACACCCCTAATTTTCAAGAGTGAAAGTAAGAAAAATGAATTCCCCAAACCAGTGCTCTTTCTCTTCATCACTCGGCTATTTTTATGTGTATGTTCTGTGCTGGCAAGTCAGAACCAACTTGGAGTGAACCTAATAGGACTTTCAAGGTAAGTGAGATATTTGATGAGCAGTTTTACAATTTCCATTTGTTGCCCCAAATAGGTTAGAATGGCCAACTCCGATTTGAACCCAGGTCTCCTGAGTTGTAATCTGTCACTGTACCCATTACATCCACATCTGATACCTTCTGCACTTTTACACCCTACAGTAAGACCCCTGTGTTACTGTGAGAACAAGCTGCCAAATTCAGGCTTTATATATTCAAGAGACTCCTTAGTCCCCATTCTTTCATTACATTATCAAACTATACATTGTGAAAAATCAGGCCACAGGAACTGAGTTTGACTCAAGTTCTCTTTGTCTCTTGAAGGCTACGCTAGTTACAGTTAAGACAGCATGAGGTGTTAGGCTGAGTTCCTTTTTTTCAAATCATACTAACAGTGAGCATCCACCCAAATATACAATTCATAGAAATAGAGGGACAACTCCCATTCTCAGATGTCATGGTCGTACGCAAAAATGACCACTGATTGGAAAACAAGTTCTACAGAAAACCCACTCACACAGACCGGTACCTACACAAAAACTCCAACCACCAACCACAGCAAAAAAGAGGCATAATCAAAACACTGGTAGACCGTGCAAATCGGAACTGTGAAGCTCAGTTTCTCAGCACTGAACTCAACCATCTGAATTGGACCCTACAGGCAAATGGCTACTCCAAAAATGAAATCACAAGAGCCATCAAACCAAGAAAACAACACCGAACTGAAGAATTAAAACAGCCACGCACAAATAAAGTATTTCTGCCATACATCACAGGGGTCACGGACTGTATGGGGAAACTTTTGGAAAAAAACACAACCTACAAAGAGTATTCAAGCCCACCACAAAAATACAACAAATGTTATGGTCAGCAAAGGACAGAAGGAACTCCCTCACCACTGCTGGAGCATACCGGATACCTTGCAGTTGTGGCCAGGTATATATTGGAACCACAAAACAGAGAACCCACACCAGAATCAAAGACACTGCAGACTAAAACAACCAGAAAGATTGGCAGTAGCTGGACATGCCCTAAAACAAGCTGGACATGAAATTCTATTTCAAAATACTGAAATACTTACGTCAATCATTACGTCAGACTGCACAGGGAAGCCATTGAAATCCACAAGCACCAGCAGAACCTCAACAAAAAAGAGGAAAGTTTGAAACTCAACAAAACTTGCCTCCCAGCATTGAAAAATACAACGTGCAAAAGGTCAACAAACTCTACCCAGCCACAAGGACCAGGGATCACTATACACAAAAGACCAGCTAATGACACCCATCAATCACAGTGACAGATAATCTCTTCTCCTTATCATAGCAATACACCCACAACAAAAACACACTGATCACCATAATCAGCCATCTCCCAAAAAGGACAAAAGCTGATCTCACAGCCGTAAATACTCAACTCCCAAACAAACTGCACCAGAGCATAGAGTGCTATCGTCTGAAGATGCTGGCCACAGAGACTGGTGAAATGTTAGGAAGAACAAGCATCAGAACACGGCCTAAGAGCCCGAAAAACCCACAACAACCAGTGAGTGAACTGCTCCAGCTTGCCTATTTCACAAACTCTGCATATATATATATTTCCCCTATAACTCCTTAGTTATTAAACAAAGAAAGTGCCACATAATTAAGGAACATTAAAATATGACTCCTCCATTCTTTCTTATACACTACAGTCTGGAATTCTATTAACTGAGGCTTCAATCCTACATCTGCATGCATGGGGAAAAGCCCCACTGAACTCAATGGGATTTGCTTCTGAATAGACATGTAGAGGATTGCACTGTCAGCCAACACTCTCTTTTGACATACACAACAGTTGTTGAGTATGCTGCCATTTGGGAGTACTGACCTTAATACAGGAGCCAATAATCTTGCTTTGCTTCAGATGAAGAATGCCGCAAAGTAAGAAAGTGTAATTGGAAAAGGCTATCTGGTGTGCTTAGCATTTGCTTAATGCACCACATAATTGAGGAATCAGACAATGATGTGAAGCTGGGAAGCATGATACATTTTAGATTAGATTATCTCAATTTCAAAGATACTAATATGTGTTAAAGCAGTGCAAGAGAGAACATTTGTAGGAAGGAAATGCTTGTTTTGATTTCACAGTCCACTGAAATTCTGTTGTCCTTGGTCAGTTTCATAAGAAAAGTAGGGGTTGGGACAATGGACTGTTGTCTACCTATAGGAAAACCCCTGGATTTGTGGAACCAGTATCCACGGTTTTAATTGTTCATGGCTGCCACTGCTCAACGCAGCCTGCAGTGGACATGGGCACTTACCTCCTCCTCTAACCCCCCCCCGATAGTTGAAAATGTGTTCATTACTATCTGTAGTTTCAGGCACTTGAGGGGTGGCTTGGAACCTATCCCTGGGAATATGGGTTGTGTGTGTCCTATTGTACAGAGCTTTCCAGGATAAAATATAGAAGAGTTTTTCTACTAGAATAACAAAACAAGGGGTGTTGATTTCAAAAGGCTCAGTCTATTACTCCATAATTCTGTTCTCCACAACATTAAAAAAAATCAGAGCTGGATTCTGAAACTGGAAACACATGTCATCCTCTTGATGATGGATGATCACAGGGGTCTCGCTTATTTTTTATTTTTGTTTTGCCTTTGCATGACATGCTAACACAGACTAACACAGCTACTTCTTCTAAAATGCAAACCTTAGGCTATATTTAGAAAAAAATTCTAGTTTGTAGATTGTTGCTTAAATTGCTTTAAGGATTAAAAGATTTTTATGCTTCTCCTCTACAGGTGGCTACTTTTTGTAGCTCACAAATAACAAAAGAATGGAGGGAGGAAATACTCGTAGTCACAGAGGCTGCAAAGCGAAATAAATTTTGTTCCTACTGAATGTTGCTGATTGAAGCAATGGCAGCTGCTAAAAGAGTTACCTAGATGAAACTGGGGGTGGCCAATAGCATGAAGGGGGTGGGGCTTTCTTGCTCTTAGGGTTCTGTGCTAGGAGGTGGAAGTGAGAGAGGACACCATGCCAAATTCAGCACCACAGAAGAACACAGAGATTCCTGAAATCAAAAGAGGTAATCAACCATTCATGTTGACTCAAGCACTGTTGGCTTCCATTTTCACTTCTTAGTACAGATCCTTTATTGTGTGACTATGAAATACCTCAGCACCCATCCCTATGTAGAATTTTACACTTTTTTCTTTCCAATACACATCCAATGCTTTATGTTTGTTGTTTAGTCGTTAAGTCGTGTCCGACTCTTTGTGACCCCATGGACCAGAGCATGCCATGCCCTCCTGTCTTCCACTGCCTCCCTGAGCTGGGTCAAATTCATGTTGGTTGCTTCGCAGACACTGTCCAGCCATCTCATCCTCTGTTGTCCCCTTCTCCTCTTGCCTTCACACTTTCCCAACATCAGGGTCTTTTCCAGGGAGTCTTCTCTTCTCATGAGATGGCCAAAGTATTGGAGCCTCAGCTTCAGGATCTGTCCTTCCAGTGAGCACTCAGGGTTGATTTCCTTCAGAACGGATAGGTTTGTTCTCTTTGCAGTCCAGGGGACTCTCAGTGCTTTATGTTACTTTCACTGCAAATGGGCTAGTATAAAGAAGCCCATTCACTAGCATTTCTCCCTAAGCACATTCCTTTCTTACAAGATGTGCCCCAACACTCTCTCACAAACCTGCCGAACAAGGATGTTACTCCCCCCTCTCCCAACTGGGAGCCAAGGAGACAGGGAGGAAGAGATAAGAAAGGAGACTCCAGTGACAGGAAACATAGTTTGTAATGGATGAACGCTTGATTTCCTTCAGAACAGATAGGTTTGTTCTCTTTGCAGTCCAGGGGACTCTCAGTGCTTTATGTTACTTTCACTGCAAATGGGCTAGTATAAAGAAGCCCATTCACTAGCATTTCTCCCTAAGCACATTCCTTTCTTACAAGATGTGCCCCAACACTCTCTCACAAACCTGCCGAACAAGGATGTTACTCCCCCCTCTCCCAACTGGGAGCCAAGGAGACAGGGAGGAAGAGATAAGAAAGGAGACTCCAGTGACAGGAAACATAGTTTGTAATGGATGAACGCACATTTTAACATGAGAGATAAAGACTGGAAGTGCTTACAGAAAACTTAACTCTTTGTTTCAAGAATACTAAACATCTATTGTATCCTACTTTTTATTCATGCAATCATATAATCAGTATATTACTGATTTACGTATGACTCTGTCACACTAGCATTTCTCCCTAAGCACATTCCTTTCTTACAAGATGTGCCCCAACACTCTCTCACAAACCTGCCGAACAAGGATGTTACTCCCCCCTCTCCCAACTGGGAGCCAAGGAGACAGGGAGGAAGAGATAAGAAAGGAGACTCCAGTGACAGGAAACATAGTTTGTAATGGATGAACGCACATTTTAACATGAGAGATAAAGACTGGAAGTGCTTACAGAAAACTTAACTCTTTGTTTCAAGAATACTAAACATCTATTGTATCCTACTTTTTATTCATGCAATCATATAATCAGTATATTTCTGATTTACGTATGAATTTGTCACAATTCATAACAAGGCTATAAACATATCATCAGTACAAAACTGTGCCAGAAAAATTTGTGCACAACTGTTCAAGAAGTTGAAACACTTGATCTTGTGGTATTTGCTGGTTATGGCACAGGATACCTGTAAAGGCATGCTTTTTCTTTTAACCCATTGAGATGAATTATTTGGGCTGTTACCCCTTTCATCTCCTGAACTGCAGCTTATTTCCAATAAACCAAACCTTATATCATAAAATCTTGAGTGTGTTGATGGTATTTTCTCTCCCTCTCAGGTACCCATGTCACATAAATGAGGCTAAATGCATCTGTTCACAAGATACAAATTTTAAGCAAAGCAGGAAAAACCTGTAATCAAACTTGCACTGCCTATTAAGGAAGGTTTTAATTTATTGCATTTATTATTGTTTGGATAAGGAAAAGGTATCAGAGGGAAATGTCATTTTCCACAAAGCACTGAAACTTTGCAAGCAATGGAACTATTCTTTTTTTTTTCTTTTGCATTGACATTTCTCAGACCCTATTTTGTAGGATCTCTGTGACATGTCACTTATTATGACTGGAAAAAAAGTGAGGTCTAATAAAGTACTGCACTGCATAGGATGCTTGCAGCCAATTTACACATCGGGATAATCTTTTTTTTCTGACAAAATGTCACTGCCCTGTCACACCCATTCAACATCATAGTGTATATTCTGTTTGCTCTGGAAAATACCACATTCGAATTATATAAATTCTAGTGATAAAAAAGGACCGAGGGCTGGTTCAGATCCCTGTTCCAATGGTAAAATTCTGCATGCAGAGTGAAATGGCTGGAAAAAAATTGCACTTATTTGCTTCTACATGAATAAGTTCATGAGTTTTTTCTGATGAACTTTTCCATCCTCCGCACCCCAGCATAGCAAATATTGGATGAACTGAACGTTTATGTGAATGCTAGACTCATATGGATACTCGGCTGGTGTGTTATAGTGGAAGATAGAAGTGTTCCAAAGGCCTCATATTATTCTATTCATTCATGGAGGGATGTAGCTAGCTGTTCTTCGGAGGCTTAGATTTCAGACAGTGCTGCAGAGAAATCTGATCCCTTATAAAACTCTCCTCTGAGGTGGGTTTTAAATAGAATCTGAAGTACTTTTCAAAATTTGCTTGGAAAAAAATTGTTCTCTTCTTGTAAGAAGCCAAACTCTTGCTTCTTCTCACCATCACCTATTAAAAGTTCACATATTCTGGAAGGGAACAGTGTAATTTTAAGTTAACAGAGAAAGAAAGCAAATATACAGATCTGATATTATCACTAACATACAATATAAGGTGATATTTACCTTTCTGCTTCTGGGGAATGGTAGGCTTTACTTCCTTTGGTTTTACTGCCTCTGAAAAAAATCCAAATTTTGTAACTTGCAAAAGTGCATTTTCAGTTTGGGTTGGCTAACATGCAAATATATGGGTCTCTGTTTTAAGAATCTAACATGCATGTTAGGAAATACACATACCTGAATCAAAGTTCTTTAAAACAAGTAAAAACCATATTTTTGCCCTGTTTACCAATTCCCTCTTCAGTTGAAGGAGAAAAGTCATTTACTAAGTGGAAGAAACACATTCTCCTGGCATCTTGAGAGAAAAGTATATATTTTTGGTTGTTGATGCTAGGCTACTGGCCCGTTGTTAGTCAGTCCTCCTCCACCAATGCTAAGCAAGGATTGTGTAGGACATGGGACAGTCCCCCTGTCTTATAAACAACAAATTGGGGTGTAAGATGGATGTGATCAGAATTCCTGTTCCTGACACAATCTGGATGTTTTAATGTTCAGCTGTTTTGAAAAGTGAATTTACATTAAGTTTACTTTCAACTATACAATGAATATGTTTACATGATCCTTCTGTCCTCCCGTTCCCTTCTTTTGTACTGTGACACTCCAGGGACAGGGAACATGGCGGTCCTCCAGATGTTGTTGTTGAATGCAATTCCCATCACCTCTCATTATGGGCTATGTATGCTGTTTATGGCTGATGGAAGCTGCAGTCCAACAATATCTAGAGTGTCACATATAGAACAGTTTAGGTATCTGGCTGTGGAGCCAGAGGTTTGAAGATTGATTCCCTATTCTGCTACCTTGACAGGGGCTAAACTCAATGATCCTTAGGGTCCTACTGCTCTGCAGTTCTAAGATGATGGCGACAGTGATGATATTGCCCACAACTATTTTAAACAATTACAGATCTAGTAGGTTTCTTGTTTGTTTCAATTTTACTTCAAGATGGACTGCTAGACAGAACAACATTTATGGGATAACTGTGCCATTTGAGTTGAAAGACTGCCTTTTCAAAATAATAAACATGTTTAATCAACATGCAAATAGTACCTCATTTAATCTAAACCTCGAATGAACAGATTGAATACAAATAAACCTATGAGCAAGCATATACTGTACATAGTTATAATTACTAATTTATCAACCCACCAAATTCCTTTTTCTGGAAGAATTATGCTTTATCAGGAGGGAAGTGAGCATATTAAAATAAATACCAGTCAAACACATTGCATTGTATGGGAGTTATAAGTTAAATACGCATATAGAAAATGAATTGTGTGCATCAGGTGGATTACTTTTTATTATTACTTGCATGTATTTGTACTCAAAGTATGTGTAGCAGAGGTGTACAAGAGCAATAAAAAGCTACATGAGCCAACAGGGTAAAAACAGTGGCTACATGTGGGTCTTCACTGCCCTGATATTATAGCTGAAGAAACTTTGTGTTAGAGATTTAGTAGCTGTTGAAAGGCAAATGGACAGAGTGGCATAGTGCAATTTCACGTTTAGTCCCAAATGATGGCTGTTGCTCCACCAGTGTATATTTACGCTGAATGCAAATAAGCCAACAATGAAAATGAAAAATACATTTTGCCAACTGGTACCAAGGTCCAAAACTTCCTCTATCAAAGACATAGGGGAGCATGGACATATTTGAGGTGAATGGCATTTCAGTAATATATTACTTTTGTGTATTGTATTCAAAAACCCTATTTTTAGCAAGTTTTGGCACTGAAGCATTACATCATGAATCCAACTGAAACATTATGCTGGTGTTAACTCATTGGCATAGATTTGGGCAACTAGTTAGGAAGTCAGTGTAAGCACTTTTTGTCACATGGCAAGCCATGTGACTGATGCGCAACAGCAAATGCCTATGCTGACTTCTTACCTAATGGCAGTTTGCTGCAGAGATTTACATTGAAGGGCTTATGCTGGTGGATGCAAGTAATAGGATTCTGGTCAATACTGAGAATATTAACAAATAATATAGATATTTCATGTATACATCTTAGGCTTGTTTTGTAAAATCCTGTCATGTATTTCTAAAGTTTGTCATAGAACCATAGAATTCTAAAGCTAGACGGGAACTTAAAGGCCACTAAGTCCAACCTTTCATGAAAGTAAGCAGAATGAAGGGTCAGAAAGCAATGAAGGACTAAGAGAAGTTGTGGTTGCACAAGTGTTGCAACTGACCACTGCCTGTGGTCTATTGTATAAGAGACTATCGTATAAGGCTGTTAATGGGGATTTCCAAAGCATTCTCTGGGTACTCCTCAAAATCAGGCATCTGGGAGCTGGCTAGCTTTGGAGAGGAAAGCTCTTTGGAGCAGATGGCATGATTCTCCCAGCATGGGGGAAATGGCAGAATTTGCCCCTCTTGGCACCCTATCTTCTGAGACAGGCATCTATCTCAGTATGTGCTCAGTCACTAAGCCCTTCCCACCTGTGGTCTGAGAGGCAGGACGGTTTTAGTGATAGAGCACACACTTTCCATGCAGAAGATTTTGGGTTTAAACCTCACCATTTCCAAGTAGGTCTAGGAAAGAATCCTACTTGGAAAGCTAGACAGCTGCTGCCAGGTATTGTTGACAATGCTAGGCTAGATGAGCCAATAGTCTGACTAAACCAGCTTTGCTTGTGTTTCAGTGCTGGTTTATGTGTGTGTGCCTTAAGTGGGAACCACTTAAGTCAGTGGTTCCCAACTTTGGGCAACCCAGTTGTTCCTAGACTCAGTTCTCACTACAGTTCCCAGAAGCCTTCACCACCAGCTGTGCTGGCCAGGGTTTCTGAAAGCTGCAGTCCAAGAACATCTGGGTTACCTAAGATTGGGAATCACTGACTTATACTTTCAGCACTTTCCAGTGCATGATTACAGTTGCAAGGACCTTAAATGCCTCACCATTTAAAAAAAAATCTTCCAATAGTCCTAGTATATACACAAATAACAAGCCTATTCTTACCAGTTTCCTCCCATAAAAGAACTTGGGCATTCTCAAGGATATGGAGCTTTACCAATAATGCTTACCTTTTTCTTTCACAGTAGTAGGAGACTTCACTTTTTCTTTTGCAACATCTGAGAAAACATTAATTCATACTTTAATAAATTAAGTGAATAATTTAAGGAACCTCACATTCATATGTGTAGGATATTTATGCAGATGAAGCCATCATGAGCGGGAGTTATAAGAAGCCATAGGTATACAAACATTCAGATAATGTACCCATGAACTTTAAGAAGGCCTGTGCAAGATTCTGTTCAATTTTTTTTAACTGTAGGATTTTTGTGACATAGTTTGGTACAGTGGTTCCTCGCTTAACGGGCGCTCTGTTTAGCGATGAAATCACTTAGTGATGCCTTTTTCGGAGCATTTTTGCACTTCATTTAGCGATGGTCCCTATGGGCGATTTTCGCTTAGCAATGGTTGGGACCATGCTTCGCATAGCGATTAAATTTTCACTTAACGATGCTTTAAACAGCCTCATGTTTGCTGTTTTTTAAATGTTTTTGTTATTTATAAAGTTAAAGTTTACTGTTTAAAATATTTGAAATCATAAAGTGCACTTAATAAACCCTTTGTTAACCAAATTTGACTTTGTTCTGACTCTTTTTTAATCTGTTGTATTTTTCCCCCATTGTGATGCATTGAATAGGTTTCAATGCATTTCAATTTGGGAAGCGCGTTTCGCTTAGCGATGTTTCCTATGGCGATTTTCGCTTAAGGATGGCAATTCGTTCCTATTGGAATGGATTATCTGGTTTTCAATGCATTTCAATGGGAAACCGCGTTTTGCTTAGCAGCGATTTTTTTTTGATAGAATTAACATCGCTAAGCGAGGCACCACTGTATTCACTTCTTGTCTTTCTCTTAATGGAAGTCTTCTACCTGAAGAATGAGAGGAAGATTCATACATATGTCATCGCTAATAGTGAACCAACTGCATGGGTCTCTAATTTGTTTTTGAACGCAATGCAAGGTGCTGATTTTGGCTTCTGAAACTTCCTAAACAACCAGAGGATAAAATATCTGAAAACCACTTCTTTCTGTGTGATCCCACCTGGAATTCAAAGTCTTCAGTGGTAACCTTTTCCATATTCTGTAACCCTGTGAGTACATAGGACAGGGCTTTCTCTGTAGAAGCACAGTGATAATAGAACACCTTTTCAAAGGAAGCCTGGCTGAGCCAATCCCTACTAAGTTTCCAGCAGACTGCCAAAGTTACAGTAGTAGATATGGCCTTTGGTCTTCTACAATGGTTTTCCCATTGGCTTATACATTGTTGTAATTTTTTTTAAAAGAAGAGCACTTCTAGTTTCATTATTGTACATTGATTTGTGAGCTCTAGCACACAAGGAGGTTAATTGCCAATTGTAATCAATCAATCAGTCAGTCAGTCAGACAAACAGTTTGGGAGAATCCTCTAAAACAATATGGGGCGGCGGCAAGGGGCGTCACAAAGCAAATGGGAGCATTGCTGAAAATCACCCCACCCCATTCCATTAAAGGAAGCCTTCTATTAGTCAAGGAACAGCAAATGGATATATCACACATTTAGAAGTTCTACCAATCAGAATCAGGATTTGGCTAGAGTGGGTTAAATAGGGTAGCTAGGACATCTAGAATGCAATTTGGTGTGATACTTGAATCCAAATGGCATATGGATCTCAAGTGGCCTTATTTGATCTACATCATCCTAATGTTAATTTGCCAGTATCATGAAGTGGCTTAAGAAGAAAAGTGGCTGCATCACTTTAAAAAAGAAAAAGAAAAAATAAATGGAAAACCTCCTACATGAAGGAGGAGGAGACAGGAGGCAATCAGAGTTTTTATTTGTTTTTCTCTTAAACATTTTAAGGACTACCTGCCTCCAGCCACACCTTTTTGAAAAATACCCTTCTCACCCGCCCCCGCTCCCTCCTGTCTCCTCCTGCTTCTGGAAATTTTCCATTTGTCTTTAAAAAAGAGTAATGTAACAGATCTGCGCTGCCGTACACTAAGTTTTCTTTTTAAAACATTTCCTTGGCCCTTCCACAGCTCCAAGGATGTATTTAATTTGCCAATATCCTGAAGTAGCTCTCTTTTTAAGCCACTTTACAATATGACAAGTTGACAGCAGGAAGCTTACTTTTGGTTTGTTTCCAACGCACTTACATGCTAGAAACAAACAAAAAAAGAACTATCCTACTGGCACAAAAATGTAGAAGCCCCTGACAGGGACCCAGACAGGTGCAGGTAGGAATATTCAGGAGATGGGGTGGTTTGCTGCATTAAATAAATCATCTGATCACACACTTTAGGAGCAAACTAGCTTGTCCCCACAGTGGATCAAAAAGCTAAATACCCATGTAGACACAGTCTCAGGTAATTAGTTGGTTTAACTAAAAAACATCATTCCCATCACATCTTCCTATGCTGGATCTGTCCATATATTCCACTATGGTCTTCCCACATCTTTACTCTGTCCACCATTATTCCTGAGGAAAGATGTACAAAAACTGATGGTGGTGCATATTAGCTTTATAACATAGAAGAATGGGAAAAAACAGAGTTGCTGGTACACTGCCGGAGTGTGATTTATTATGTACTGCCTCTTGGCTCATCAGTAACTGTCAATGGTTTCTTCTCTTTTCAACCTGGGGTTAGACATATTCATGGTGGCTTTCAATCATATTCCAGAAGGAGCCATTATTTCCCCACGTCTTTCTAGTTTCACACAGAGAACTCTAGCCTCAAAGTGTATCACATGACGCTACATAACTCTTAAGTCCAGAGGCCAATTACACTACAAGAATACAAGACAGGATCATATCCAGAAATGTTGTACAGATGACAGCATGGGGTAGGATCTGAGAATATAATCTCAGGCCACTGTAATTTACTGTGAAATAGCAAAAACCAACATATGAAGAGTCTAAAGTTATGTATTATACAACAAGCATCACTAGATTGGAGAGTGTAAAATACCCATCTGTTTCTCAGTTCTTATTAACTCAGAGTCCAGAAGAGTGGAAGCAAGGGTCTTATTTGCTTCTTACACAGTGATTGAATAGAATACTTCCTGCACATTTTTATTGATATCTTCAGAAGCAAATAATAAGATGCCTGCTGCTGCTGTTGTTACATTAAAACAATCACAAAAAAAGATCAGTTCTTTTCACAATGTCTGGCTACAGAGTTTCTTTTTACTAAAGATCAGCTAAAGCAAAGCAAAGTGAAGTGAAGCAAAGTGTGCTGCTTATATACCACCACATAGTGCTTAAGATTCTCTCTGAGTGATTTACAATTTACGCAGTTTACACACTGATAAGTTGTTTCCAGCTAATGTCCACAACTTCTATCGGTTTCTCATAATTCTTTAAAAATAAGTTTATTACAACATGAAGGCTGGAATCCTATACCCATCTACTTTCTGGGAAGCCCAATAGAATTCAATGGGACTTATTTCTGAAGTTGCAGTCTAAAAAACTGCTGTCAACCTTATTCATGCCCAGTGGTAACAGCTATGCATATTTTATTGGAACATAAAAATGGCTAACATGGAGATGTGTTGGGGTCTCAATTCATAAAATGGCTCCTGTAGTGCTCATGGCCAAACACAAAATTTCCACTTACTAGAAATAGGGAACTGTGGCTACTCAAGGAAATTAACTTATGCAAGGCAAAGGTGGAGTTAAAGATTCAAATCAACAACTACTTCGCTGAATCCATTTTTCTTCTCTGATATTTAAAAACAAGGCCCTGGCAGGCACAAAGGGAGGTACGCTGGGGGCTCCAGACACTATCCACAGCTGCCAGAGTGTTGGGGTGAGAGTTGGAGATTCCGGGTTCTCGTCCCAACCCAGCCATGACACCAGAGTATGTGCTTTTATTTCCTTCAGATGGTATAAAAACCCATGAGGCTGTGTGACCTTGGGCTACTAAATTTCTGCCTGACCCAACTCAAAAATTCATATAAAATGGGGTGGAGAATGGTATACACTATCCTAAGGTCACTGGGAGAAAAAGAGGACACAAAATGTAAATAATAAATAACTCCCAGGTACATGCACATTGTATATATTGCACCCTCTGTCTCACAACTGGAGTCTTAATGACTTTCTTTTCTGTGATTCCAGAAAGGATGTTTTCAAGCACTACAACAAAGAATTGTTGCTTTTTCATTAAATGTAATCTGGTGTATCCACAGAACAACTGTGGTTCTTTGTTGTTATGTTTGGAAGACACAAAGGTTTATTTCTTTTCCTTTAATAGGCTCTGGGAAGAAACATTTATCAGTTGCTAGACATTCAGACAACAGGGTACGATGAGAGAAATCCCTGCACATAAATAGAGAAAGATAGGCAAACTTATTTGCTGTACAAAAAGAAAAAAAAGATGTGGATATATGTTGAATTAAATGATCAGACCCAGAATGCTTCCAAAGGGACAAGAAGGAAACATTATATTGAGGATCATTTTAGATTTCTTTCATTATTATGCAGGTCCTTATGTAGTCTATATTTAAACCTTGTGCTACATAAATTAGTTGCATCCAACAGCATCTTTCCAATGTTTGAGGGATGGTGGATTGAGTTCCTCTCTCTTTCTCTCAGCCCTGTAGTTCCCAGCACACTCCTCAAAGCATATTCCCGAGGGCTGGAGAAGTGTCAAGAGCACATTTGCAGTCAGTGTGGAGGAATACAGATTTCAAGAGCAGAAGTCCATTCTTGTAACCTTAGATGTAGCCCAGTGTTAGCAAGCTATCAGACATTTTGGCATTAGGCCATACATATATCTTTTTAATATATGTCAACTCCACTATTCCATAGACAGGTCAAGTTCTGCCACCACTCTTTACTGCCACATGATGCTGAATGTGAATGTTGGAGTTGTAGAGAAAGCTAAGCATCCATGCATCTACTTCATGGAAATAGCCATGCTCCAGAATGTAGCTGTGGCTCTTCAATTTGTTCGCAGAAAAGTGATGTGGGTGGTTGAGTTTTTGTGCAAGCATTCTAAGAATCAGATAATGTGTTTCAGGAGGACAAATCCCCAGAAGAGAAGGTCTGGATGCATGCAGTTTGCAGGGCAGATG